CAAATAAATACAATCTATATATATAAAGAAGAAAGTTTGTTTGTATGTTTGTTTGTTTGTTCTCTATGCATTCAGTCCCTGTAAGAGCTAAAGCAGCCAAAATTTGCATGGCACACCCCTGGGTCCAGGGGAAGGTCAAGAGGGGATCGGCGAGACAGAAGGAGGGGGGAGAGCTCCCGCCCAGTTTTCAAAAAATGGTTGAAAGATTTTCGGATTTTTTTCGGTTCTCCGATTTCTGAGGTAAGGCGCCGCTAATTCAAAGAGACCACACGTTTTTATTTTTGCCTTTTTTATACATATTCTGATAGGAAAAATCACGCTGATTCCAAATATCACCCTTTTGGTTCGATTTGATGAAGTTTTGGGGGAGGAAATTTCAAAATACTGAGACCGGGTCGAAAACCTGAAAAACTCGAATTTTGGAGAAAAAGGGCTCCAGTTTTTTCCACACGCGTTACAACTCTTTCAAATCAAATTTTTCGGATTTTCCATCATAAACAGCTCCTAAGAATGTGTCTCTCAAGGACTTCTGGCGTAAAATAAAATTTTGGTAGTCCGTTTTCCAGGGGCCGGTCTTTGCCCTAGTCCTCTAGCTTGCGCCTCTTTCTCCTAAGACAGGTAAGCACCAAGAGGCTTTATTTTTGCGCCAAAAGATTCGTCTTGAAACGTAGAACAAAGTTACGAAGAGTTTTTTTCGAATTTGTTTTCCAACAAAGAGGAAAAAAATAAACATTAAAAAAACGGCAGTTTGCTCCAAAATCGGCCAAGTGATTTTTTTATAGCTCATACATTTTTCGTTCAAATCGTTTCAAATTTTCAAACTATAGGTTAAAAAGTAGGGCGAATCTAATAAGAGACATATCAGGTCTCTGTGAGGTCTCTCGAAGGTCTCTGGAAAACCTTTCTGAAGAAGCTTGGCAACCAAAAGCTTCTCAGTCTCTTTTACGTCCTTTCACTTGAACCTTTTTACCTGTTTTGTCTGATTACAAAAAGAAGTACAAAAATAACATTCTAAGTAAATATCTGACTGCTCTATCTGTACGAAAACAGTTACTGTGCCGTTGCCAAGGTACAAAAGAAAATCAGTCATTCAGATTTGCATTGGTAATCTTTCTATGGGAAATAACAGAGTCTTTGCACATGGAGCTGAAAAACATTGAGAGCACGTCTTGGTACGATTTTCCATCTCGATAGGCTTTAAGAGCATGCCAAAACCGTCTCTGTAATTTCACGTTAGTGCCCTTTTCTTCGAAATTGGATCTCGATTCATCGATCAAAGAAAGCATCTTTTGATAATTTTGCTCTGAATATTTTCTAACATATGATTTCATATGACACCAGAGACCTTCGACCGACGCCAATTCGCAGTGAAATTTAGGTAAATAGATCAGTTTTATACCATAGCAATTTGCTAAAATTTCTAACTTAGTGATCTAGGCAGAAAACACAAAAAAAAACTTTGAGCAAAGTTAAAAATAAATAAATATGTGCGTAGTGACACTCACGGTTTTGAAGGCAGCGTCTGTAGACAATTTTTCTTTCAACTCCGGTAATTTTGTTTTCTCATTCACGTCAAAGCCGAGTTCTTTGGCGATCACTAACAATCCTTTTGAACAACCTTCTTTCACGTCCGAGGGATAATAACAACTGAGTCTCTGATGTTTACCATTCTGATCCATCCATTCTAGGAAGTCAACGGGACAACGATAACCTTCTCGTTTTGGAAAGTCGCTTAGAGAACAAAGTTTTGTTGTGTGAGTGGTGGCGTTGTCAACAAGAACTTCAAACTTGCAGTTCTTGAATTCTTTCTTAAACGGTAATAACTTGAACAACCGTTCAAACTCCTCTAACACAACATCGTTAGTAAAATAATTATCCGTTCCTATGGCAATGGACGCAGTGGCTGAATTTGTTTCATAATTTATGCCCGAAGTATTTGAAAGTTCTGGATATTTTTTTACAGCCGAATGGAATTCAGAATCGGATAGACGGAGGAGTGGTGACGACGGGTGAGCAACAAGAAAATCGCTAACCATAAGAGATCTTCCTCTCCCCTTCACAAAAAACGGTTCGTGTCCATCGGCCATCCAGCGCTTGTGAGAAATTTCATTCGAACGGAAAGTACTTTCATCATGGTCTAAAAAAACATTAATAAAAAGTGGGAGTAATTTTTGACCATATGACCGCCATTCTCGGTGGTGCGAGATAGCCTGTCCTAAGAGAGACTTCATGAGAAGACCATGCATTTTAGAAATATCGAGCACACCTAAGTTTTCAGGAGTGTTTTTTAAATAAGAAAATCGGATAGAGCATATGTGATTTAATAGTAGAGTATCCAAAGGTTTGCCTCTGTGACCTCTACATATCGCGGTAGACTTCCGGCAATTTGCCGTCGTTTTAAAGTATACACTTTTTCCTGTTTTTCCATTTTAAGAGTAATTTGGGTGGTAGAAATGATAGACGGGTGATTGAAAAAGCATTTGAAAGAGAAACTTCTGGTGAATGTGCACTGTTAATTTCAAGTTCCTTCGACAGCCCTTCGCTTCCACAGATCAAAAACACAAAAATTGACATACTCTAAAAAATCACGTTTTCCACTTGCGTAGCCGTTTGTAGTTGTACGCTGGCGAGATTTTTTGTGCAAATAATCCTTAAGAGATAACACATCGTTTGGTATGTAAACGAAGTTCGCAAGCAAAGGCAAATTTTTTTACGATGGGTACAAACCCTAAAATTGTGATTTCATGGACTTTTTTGTCATAAATAAATCTCCGTAATTTTTGACCAGACAATTGTACCGGTCACATCTTCGTGATCAGTACAGCAAGTTTCTTAAGTTTAAACGCAAAAACACTTTTTCGGAGACTTCTGGACCCT